TTAAAGACTGCGCGAGTTACTTAAGCCTTCGTATAGTCATTTCCAGGTATAGGTTAGCCATGGCTAAGACCTAAAATCATGTTGTATGCATAAGTAATAACTCTCTTGAACGGACAGCGACAGTGTGGTCGGTTTTGTCCAGTCAAGAGGAGTTTCTTATGGGAGTATCTTAAATATTTTATTTAAAAATATAATTAAATATATATATTTAATAGTAACTCATATTGTAAGTTCATCCAGACCTGGTTCAATGTTTTATCGACCAGCACAATGATAAGTTATCGATATAGAATTAATTGTTGATTGAAAAAAGAAGGAAGAACGTTGTGTAAAAAGAACTTAAAGCGCTTACTATATTACTATACAAAATAAGAAAAACTTTGGTGCAGTAAATTAAAAACATTCCCATCACTAAGGTATTCAACCAACCCATATATACAACAAAAGCAAACAATAAAAAAAAAACAAATTGATATAAAAAAGTTAAAACAGAAATAATTCACATATTTAAAATATTATGTTCGAAACATTTCTTTACAAAAAAAAAAAAAATAACTGAAATGGTTGTAAAATATTTTTAATAATATATTCAAATAAGTTTAAGTTTCAATCAATTGCAAAAAGAAATGCGAGCGCAGGCCAAAGTCTTTTTTTAAATTTATACGAAAACCACATTTGTTTCCATTAATTATAAATAATATAATTAATGATTTACCAAGCTTCGCGTTCAGAGATAAATCTAGTTTGCAGGAAAACGATACTAATTGCATCATTTTTGTATTAAATATTAAAATAAAAGCTGATGTGCAATTATTTTCGGGGAAGTATTAAAAAATGAAAAAAAAAATAATTGATATATAATTATGCTTTAATATCAAGTTTTACCAGGAACAAAAGCTTTTTTTTGGCTCCGGTTCTTACTACACATCGAATGCCAAAGGATATCTGAAAGTCAAGTGCTCTGAATTTGCTTTACTTTTTGCTCTTGTTGCCTATATTGCCATTTCCGGCATATGTCCAGGCATAAAGCTAATCAAAATGTCCAACACACACACTTCAGACACACCTCACACTCCCCACACTCCACACACACAAACACACTCAAGTTCAATGCGTTTCAAGTGCAAACTTTGCCTCCGAGTGGCATCTGATGGATGTGGAGCTGGGGGCAGGCAGCTGTGCGTTGATTTCTTTGCGTGTGTGTGTGTGTGTGTGTGTGTGTGTGTGTGTGAGTGAAAGGCACTTCATTTTGGAGCCTGGCAGCCAGCCTGCCAGCCTGCCTGGACATTGGTCAAGCGGAAGTAATGTCCGTCAGTTTTCTTCTTCTTTTTTTTGTCCATTGTTATTAATATTTTATGGTGCGTTATTAGCGGCCATTAGTTGCATACCCCGACCCCGCCTCGGCATGCGCTCCATTATGACACGTAGCTTTATGCAGCTTCCGGCGGTTTCCGTTTCCGCCAGCGAAAAACATTTGATAAATTGCAAAACCAATGAGAAGAGGACGGGAAAAGTGGGGCTGCAGCTGCTGCTGCACATGCAGATAATGGAAAATGTGTTTGGTTTTTGGGTAAAGTAAACAATATGTTAATGGCATAAACATGCAGCGGCAGTGCGGTAAGCTGGCCTGAAGGGGTGGGGGGGGGGGGGGGGGGGGCTGAACGGGGGCTGATATGAAGTCTCGTAACTGTTTTTTAAAGATTACGTTCAAGATTTATGATAGAGTTTCGGCTGTGCCTGGCTTAATGGCAGTTTTATGATTGCCTTTGCCATAGCTTGATTGATAGATGAAACGATGCATGGCTGCGGCAAGGTGTGAGTGAGTGTGCGCATGTGTGTGTGTGTGTGCGGAACTTTGAGCAATTGGTCTCAGCTGTTGTCAAATTTGTCACAAGGCACTTGGAAAACTTAAGCGCAACTTACACATGTAATAGAATACAGCAAAAACAACGAAACGAGTCTGTTGCCTGCACAACTTCGCTGCCACACTTCCCGCCAGCCCCCTTCTGGTTGCAAGTCTAAGCCAATCCATCAAGAGCTGCATGCATCATAGAACTACTCGAATTACCAACAATAACAGCAACTAGAAAGATACACAAACACCCTAGCAACATATATGCAGCACGCACATCCCAAAATCCATTGTGAATCCCAAACCCCACCCTCAACCTGACTGAGCCTGAGATACATCCCTTTCGTTGCCTTGGCGTGTCGTGTCGTCTCTGGGCGTCTCTGGTTCGGTGTGATCTGCTGCAGATGTTTGCATTTATTTAGTAATTACTGTCACGCAATGTGACCATCAAATCAAATAAAACAAATTCCCGTTGAGTGAAAGTGAAGCAAACTCAAGTTTCTTTAAATGGTTTCAAGTTTTTCACGGGGTGGCTACCAAAAGTTTCTTTCTTTCAGCAACAACCCCTCTAATTAATGAACATTACTTGGCTCTACTTAAGAGTTCAATGATTCCAGAAAACGGCAACTTCGACTAGGTCTACATAATGAATAAACAATAAAGCGAATGCTTTGAATGAGCCACTGACCCAAATTTGTAAATATAAAATATATGGAAATTAGTCTTTTGATCATATTAAAGCAATAAAATAAGTCTTTGATTCAATTTCAATATATCCTACAATTAAAATAAAATATACATAAAATAAGAATTTAAGTTAAATATTTAGATTAACTTAAGAGACAATCTTTTGCTATATATTAAATAATTTAATTTAAATATTATCAAACAGCAGCTTAAATTTGCAGTCTAGTTAAAGCATGGACAATTCGAATAGCTTTCGGGGTTAATAATAGATATGTGTAAATATATGAATATGCTGTTTGTTTTAGTTATACATGAAGTCAGCACGCTTATAAAATAGACGCTCTTTATTAAAACGAGTTCTTTGCAGCTATGCAAACAATTTGACACATTCCTAGAGCTAAGTTATAAATACGCTACGCTGTCTGTACGCGTACTCAGCCAGACGCTTAAATCCCCTGCAAAAAAAAAGTTGCTGGAAGTCTGCCATTTAAAACTAAACACGTCTGCCAATATTAATATATATTGTATTTCCGACTCTGCTGCAAAATACAAGAAAAAAAAGAGAGTAGAACCTTCCATTAATGTCAAAATGCGCTAACTTCGCTGCTCTCGACTCGTCAGCCCCGCCCACTGGCAGCCCCAAGCTGAACCCAACTTAACCCAATCCAAACTCTCAACTCAACCCAAACAAGGGCCAAACTTAAACCCAAACCCAAAATTCAACTCTCTCTCTCTCTCAACTGCGGCTCGGCAGTTTTTCAAAACTTTTACCCATGCCCCGCCCGCTGTACGGGGTGTAAAATTCAATACGTTCCGATGCTTTTTAGCGAACAATTTCAAATGCAACACAACGCGGCAAGGATATTTTTCACTTTGCGCCATGCCAAACGGAGGCGACAGGAGGCCACGTCGAAAATTATATATGGAATTCACGGCCAGGGCCATTCCCAGTTCGCCGCGTCGCGTCGCGTCGTCTGCCACTTGTTGTTTGGGTTGGACACTAACCCACCGCGACCCCCCCCCCCCCTCTTCCGACCCGCACAGTCTCCCTTTGAGTGTTGCCAATGTTAATCGAAGTTGTGTGCACGAAGAAAAGAATACAAAAAAAAAGTATAGAGTAAGAGGAAGCAAAAAGACTGAGCTCCTCGCGTTATCTCACGTATATGGGCAGACATAAAAACAAATTACATGTCGTTGGGCGGGGCAGCGGGTGGGGAGCTGCGGGGCACACAGAGTGCTGCTTAAGCGGCTTTATGTACAAAAATTGTAAATGGCATTTGTCTCTACATGTGTGCCAGTGTGTGTGTGTGTGTATGTGTGTGCGTCTGCATGCAGCTATTTCCGGTGCTATGGCGGCCAGCGGAAGCGGCTGCCGTTTGTTTTTCTACTTCATTTTGTTTTTTTTTTCTTTTACTGTCTTTTTTTTCATATTCTTTTTGGCCGTGTGCATAAAAGTGCAGAAAAAGTTTATCAATATTGAAAAGTTTAGCGTGTTTATTTATTGTTGTTGTTGTTCTTGTTGGTCGGGGGCTGTTTCTGTGCCTGGGTCATAGTCATAACAATAAACTCGGTTCATAAATAAGTTATTAGTCAATGTCTTTCGATCTTCCTCTTTTTTTTTTTTTGGTTTGTGTTCGTTTTATGGCTTTGATGGCGCTTCGATTGCCGCTCATTGATATCTGCCCGGCTCGCCCGTAAGCTCTTTGCAGTTCCATGTCTTTTGAGCACTCTTAATGAGCAAGTGTCTAGAAATTATGGGATTATGTTGTGTCTGTCGAAAATAAAAGTTGACTCACGTGCAAAGTTCGGTTTCAATCAACTCTATTCAGACTGGAGTATTTTAAATGGTATTTCTTATGGTTCTAATGGTATTTGTGATTTTTTTATATGCTGCTTAGTCTTAGCCAAGCCTTTCGGCTTTTTAAAATGTTGTTGTCCATAGAACAGCTGTTTAAATAATAATATAGTTAGATGGTATATTATATTAAAAATCTTCTATTATTTACTTTTATTTTAATCCGCATATTGGCCAAAAGTTTTGTTAAATTCAAAAACATTTATTTAATTGAATTTGAAACTTTCATCAAGCAGCTGCTTAAATAGCAAAGGGCATTCCCTAATATATTTAATTTGTTTTATCAGTGGGACTTGAATTAATTTTTGATTGTATCAATCCGAGTAAAAGTAAATAAGAAAACGTCATATGCCTCGTGCTGGCAACTGATTAAATAATAAAATTCACTAAGTCACAGCTTTCAGTTATTCAAAGTAAATTCTATGACGTCTGCCAAAATCGCTAATACATAATATAAACATGTATTTGACAAATAAAAATCGATAGCATCTGTGTAGACTTAACAAGACTAATTTTTGGGGGCGTTGCCAGAATTCGAGCTGCTATAAATTTGCCCGAAATTGGCCTGAATTGTATCATTCACGAATTGAAGACACTTCAGCGAAGATGACGAACCAGACAATCATTCTGAGCTGCGCTCTTTTGGCAATTCTTGTTGCCTATCTTCCATTGGGCGAAGCAGTCACCTGCGCAGCGGACCCTACCAATACTAATTGCATTGACTGCACTCTAGCTGCCAATGTAAATAATGCTGAATGCCTAACCACAGTGGCAGACACCACCACTGTGGCAGCCATGACCACTGTGGCAGCTACGACCACTGTTGCAGACAGCACCACTGTGGCAGACAGCACCACTGTGGCAGACAGCACCACTGTGGCAGACAGCACCACTGTTGCAGACAGCACGGATGCAACAACAAAGAGAGGCCATCATCATCATGGACATCATCGTGGACATCACCGTGGCGGCCGAGGTGGCAGGCGCGGTGGCTGGGGCGGCGGCTGGGGTGGTGACAGGGACGGAGGCAGGCGCGGTGGTAGGCGTGGCGGCAGAGGTCGTGATGGCAGAGGTCGTGGCGGTCGTTGGTAGAAAGATCAGCACGATAATAATTAATAAATAAACTGGATCATTGAAATAATGTGGTGTTTTTTCTAGTTGTGACATTAACAACATTTATTTTGATAAAGATCTCCTCTTAATGTTTGCATTTTACAGAATCAGGAATTTTGAAATTATAATATTTTATTCGATGGCGATCGCTCTTCTATGCGATTCGCATGTGACCAATCAAAATCTTGAAACCCTTTCAATCAGATTGTTCTTTAAAATCTCTCAATATCTGGCCATATCTTCTAATCTCCCTTATACACAAACACACATACACACTTCTAGCTCTCACTTTAATATGTATGTGTGACATTTCATCGTGATTTTCATTCAGTTAGATATGGAATAGACTTAATAGTATTTTAAGTATTAAATAATATTAATTATCTTATCAATTATATATATTTTTTTAATTTAACTATAATATAACTAATAAATATCACACCATAAATATGATTTAATGCGAATAATATAATATTTATAGCTATAATAAGACAACTTAACTTAGGATACAAATTACGATATTAGGCAAAATGTAGTGAATTCTGCCCCAAGCTATAAGTTTTACTCGCAGCCCTAGAATCAAAGGAAGTATAATTATGTTAATACATCAGGCATATATGTAAAGCACAGGCATTCATTTCAAATGAAAAAATCAAGCCAGAATGATAAATAATTGAAATATACCTTCGAGTGTGCTCCATTCACACGCAACGACCAATTGGCTAAATGGCCCAATCAGTCATCAAATATCTGCCGAGAGTCAAGTCGAAAAATGCAATCACAGTTCAAAGTCGAAAAAATTGACATAATTACGAGTGTATGGCGCTGCTGCATGGCATATAAATTTCACGTAGCTAAATAAAAAAAAAAAATAAATAAAAAAATAAAATAAAAAGCAAAAATGAAGTGAAATTTTAATAAGCTAAATAAAGCGGCGGCAAGAGAAAAGACGCCGCCAGGTGAAAGCGGCAAAAAGAAAACAGCACGCAAAAGAGAACAGCAGCTACCGGAGGAGACGACATCGCAGCGCATAATGCAAAGCCCCAGACAAATATGTGTGCTGCCACCCAAAGCAACCTGCCAACCACCCAACCACCCACCCAGCCAGCCAGCCAGAGCTTGCCGCACCACACGCGCGCAGGCCGCAGACAGCGCCGAGATGTGTGCTATGCTTTTCTTTATGCATATTTAAAAAGCCACCCACCCAATAAGTATGCTACAAATAATAAGCGTAGTGAAGCGGCGCGCATTATAAACCAGACCTGAGTGGGGCAGGGGGCTGCTCCCCTCCCTCCCTCCGGCCCTGCGTAGCGTCATGCCTGAGACCATTTTAGCCCAAAGTCTACATGGAATTATGCGAGGCTTCTGCTGCCTGTTGTTGTTTTTGTTAATGGAGCAAAGCTGGCAGCATTGTTGTTGTTGCTGTTGTCTTGCTGTTGGTATTATCCTGCGACTGTGATTGTCTGTGCTGTTTGTAGTTAAAATGAGCACAACAACAACAACAACAATAACAACAACAATGTAAGCAACAACCACCAGCAAGAAGACAGGACACGGCACACCATTAAATGCGCAGCAGAAGCTAAAGCAAAATCAGTAAAAGCACAAAGAGAATATGCTAAACGTTTGACGAGACTCACAAATATGCAGCATACAAAACAAAAATATAAATATGAGCTTAAAAAAAATATATATAAATAAAAATAAATATATATTTGACGGGAAAATATAAAGAAAATAATAAGAGAAAATCAGAACACATTATAAAGCATATCGAAAGTCGAGCAACAGCAAGTTGTAATGAATTCCTGCCAAAAGCTGATGTCGTTGATGGAGGGGCAACACACAAAAGACGGTAATGTTTGCCAGGTTAACAGAAACTCAAGTGTGTCAAGCGAGACGTTCAAAAGTCAATCTTACAAATATTGAAAGAAAAATTTGCAGCTGGCTTATGTAAATGATATGTGCTTGATTTGCATGCCTTTTACTCACATTTAGTCTGTAAATGTTTCTTAATTTAAGTTCAAGCTTTAAAGTCTGAGCCGCAGTGTGTTATTCAAAAGCTAATTTTTGTCACTCTGAATTAATATATATTATACGATATATATTAAATATTTTAACATGATTAAATCAAAGTTCTTTCATATATTTTTATTAACTTTATTTAAATTGAAGTAACTCAGCGAAAATCTTCGCAGAGCAGCTGCCCATTATAATCAAAATAAATGGTTTCTGGATAGCAGCTCCCCATTTGTAAAAGCTGAAAATTAAATGCACCCCAATTCGAATATTTTTCACGCAGCCCTCAAATTTTGAAAATCACCCACAAAGTGTTGTCTAATGATGTGTTTCGCCCTCTGGCTTTTTATTTTTTTGATTTTTGTGCTGCCTTCAAAGGTGTCAATAAGTAGAAACAAGGCATAAAAAGCAAATGCCAAATTAAAGCTCCGTGGTTTAGTACAAGAGATTTTGCCAAAGCAGAGGAAAAGAATTAAAAAAAAAGAAAAGAAAAGAAAAGAAAAACATTTAAACATGACATAAAAACTGAAACGATGAGCACTTTCAGCCCCTCATTTGAGATTCAGGCTCTCTGGATACAGATAGAGCACAGCGGCCGGGCTGGGTTATTGAACTGCCAGGGAGCCGGGCAGGGAGAAGGGCACGGGGCCGGGAACTCGACACTAAAAAGTCGTACCTTATCGAAATGACAAACAAATTTTAATCAACACACAACAAGCCGCAGCTGCAACGCACTCGCAACTGCTGATGACATCCTTTTCGCACAGCGGCAGGAGATGAGCCAAACATCACGTCGATTTTAAGCACATTGATCAGAAGTGTCCTGGCAGGGCTGAAAGTGCGGACACCGGATAATAATAGCTGCTGCTCATGATGCCAACACTGAGAGCCTGTTTGATGTTGATTATGACTAAGTTGCTGCCTGGCCTGATAAGCCTTAAAACTCTCAAACGATGAGCGTGCAAATTTCTATAAAAAAGTGAATTTCAAAAAAAACACAATGAAACTTTACATGCGGCAAGCCGACATTGTGATACGCTTACTTGGATGACAAAGTAAAATATATATGTATGAAAATATAAATACATAAAAAAGTCTGAAAAGTTAATAATTATATTTTAAATTGGTACAAAAATAGTTATAAATAGCTTCAAAACACTTGGATAGCAAAATACCAAATTTGAATGGAAATATAAACACAATACAAGCTGGAAAAGTACAAAAATATTATATAAAGTATTTATAAAAAAAGCTATTAATATATTCAATAACTCAACTAATGATATATTTATCTCTCTATAAAGTTCAGGTCTCTGCTAGAAATATGAATATCAAAAATTAAATTACGCAAAAAGTTAAAATTAATTTAAAATAAATAATAAATAAACAAAAAAAAAAAAATTTAATTTAAAAAAAAAAAATTTAAATAATACTTAAATTTATATAAAACACTAGGTATTCAAATAACTCAACTTATGATACATTCTTCTCTTGTTATAGATCAGAAGGTGTTATGCTAGAAATATGAAAATTAAAACTTAAATTACGAAGAAAAATAATCTTAATTCATATCATACGAATACAAAAAAAGGATATAAAATAATATTTAAAATGTATCTAAAAAGTTATAACAAAAAACTCAACTAATAGTGCATATTTTTGTCTTTTGGGTTCACAGGGTTTTATGCTATAAATATGAAAGTCAATAATCAAATAAAATATGTCCAAAATATTCTCGATTTCTTCTGAGGATCCTGTTGCGAATCCTAAGCTAGTGTATGGCTGCCATTTTTAGTTTTTATATTATCAAAGCAGCTTCGTTATTAATAATTTATATATTATTGATATTTTGTTTAAGTTTAGCCGTTGCGATCCGTTGTAATCCTACAACATTATGAATACTACTTTCCTACAACGTCATATTACAAATGCGACAACAATGTTGTGGTGCCCTCAATTGAAAGTGTATTTCGAACGCAATTCAAGAGGCGGAGTCATGAAAACAAAACAGGATGCGAGGCGTTGTTGCCGCTGTTGCCTCCTGCATGCGACGCACGTGTCGCCCTAAAAAGCCGATCTAATCAAATGGAAGTAAAATGTGTAAAAGGTGGAAAATTTACGCTGAGAAAAAAGCAAGAACAGCAGCCGGAAAAATAGACAAAAAAAAAGAGGAATATATAGAAAAATACTCAATGTGGAAAATGGAAAATCATAACTCGTCGACTTTTTCTATTTTCCTGTTTTTTTTTTTGTTTTATACACACTAAAGTTCGTGCCACATGACTAGACACGAATTCGCAGCGACTTTAAGCTTAAAGTGTGCAGCCTGAGCTTGGGTTTGGGCACGAGCAGAGCGGCAGGGCCGGCCCACAAAATGGGTATCATATGCTAATTTCCATATGGTCAACCCTTTTCGGGCAACGACCCAGCATGAGAAATTTTAATAATTTTCACTGAAGTTTTTGCCTGGCTTCCAGTGCGTTGCCTTTTGGGCTAATTGTATGCTAAACGTTTGGGGTGGGGTCGGCATTTGCGGGCGGGCTGGCACTTTGGAGCGCGGCTGGGGCTTTCCAAAGTTTTTGTGGCAGCTTACAGTTGGGCGACACACAAACACACACACACACACACACAACGGACACATGAGACCTTGCCGTAGCTTAGAGTTTCGCTCGACGGCGGCTGCGAGCCGAACTATAAACATGATAGCCGGGTAATGACTTTAATTGTTCGGGTGTTTCTGATATTCGTGAGAGCGGGGGAGAGAAGGAAAGAGTCATAGAGAGAGGGACTGAGAAAAGCTAATATCATCTATGATGAAGCATCGTTTTTTTGTCATTGTTGTCATTTTGCTTGGTCCACTTGTTTTTGGGTTAATTTTGATGATACTGGTGAAAAGTACGAGCAACATTTGCTTGCCACAAAATTATGTCAATCGCAACATGGCCTGTTGGTGGGTTAAA